ACAGAACAGCAACTGTACTCCTCTCCCTCTTCCACCCCACAATCGGCTGGCAGGTGTCCCTCTGTTTTCTTCCTCTCCATCCCATACCTGGGAAGCCAGGAGCAGCAAAGAGAGAACTGCCAAGCACAGGTGAAGGATCTTCATGGCTCAGGATGAATTGTGGTGGCAAAGCCAGGCAAAGCCAGCTTTTAAGCCAAATGGAGCCCCAAAGCTTGCCAAGAGAGGGCTGGGAGGGAGAAGCAGATTGCATAAATGTAATTTTTTGGGGACGTTGTGACTTAGGCTGACGTGGACAAGAATGTTGCCAAAATCACGTGCCTCTGCAAAGGCATTCTTGCATTCTGTCAGTCATAGCAGTTTCCACACAAGATCACAAACATTCAGGTGTGCTGTATTCATGTTTCAGAGGGAGATAGCTTAAATCAAATGAAACATTTATGAGGAGGATGCAATGCCCCACATAGGCAGTGCTAGGGGGATGTATCCCTCAGGTAAATAACTCACCCCTCACCTGTCCCCACCACATTGCTGGACCCTTGCAATTAGCTGAAGGAAGGGGACTTTTCACATGCTCACCTCCCACAATGATCATTCTTAATCTGGCCAAACTTAGATTCACAAAATGTTCAGGGGTATGCGTTACCCTGCATCCCCAAGGAAATAGCACTGGTAGTAGTAATAGCTTCAAACAGTTCTTCCAAAAAGAAAAAGAAAGATTCAAGTCCACCGATTGAAGAGGTTGAGTGGGACATGCAGGGCAAGGAGATTTCAAAGGTGAAATGATGGACTCTTTGCTTACTTGAAGGAAAGGCAATCTTCACATGCTCTCCTGTCCTTTTTCTCATTCTTGCAATCATCATCATCATCATCATCCTTTTTCGCAAACACCTTTTTCTAACTAGACTCAAAGCAACTTACAAAAATATTTTCAAACATGAGGGGCTCTGCTTCTCTGCTTGCTCCACCTGCCATGTCCACTCTGCACCCCATCATAATTGGCCAACCTGTCCTTTCCTTTCTCCTTTCCACCCTTGAAGATGACTAAGCCCCCTTTCCCCCTTCCCAACCCTGTTTCTGAAGCTGCTTCACTCTTCTGTCCTGCGCTCCTTGGAGTCGCTGTTATTTGTGACTAAAGATCAGGGGTGATGGTCTCCAGAACAGAAACATCCAAAGGCCAATGAGTTAACCTTCTCTGCTTTGAGGTTTCATTTGAGCTTTCATGCTCAGGCCTGGTGCTTTCATGTGCAAGGTGCTTGAAACTGAATATGGAACCCTTTGCAAGGAATATATGGAACCTAATCCTCAGCTAACAGACGCGGGTGCGCTGTGCTCTAAACCACTGAGCCTTGGGCTTGCCAATCAAAACGTCGGCAGTTCAAATCCCCGTTACATGGTGAGTTCCCGTTGTTCGGTCCCAGCTCCTGGCAACCTAGCAGTTCAAAAGCACACCAAAAAATGCAAGTAGATAAATAGGTACCACTCCTGCGGGAAGGTAAAAGGTGTTTCCGTGCACTGTTCTGATTTCACCAGAAGCGGCTTAGTCATGCTGGCCACATGACGTTGAAAAACTGTCTGCGGACAAATGTAGGCTCCCTCAGCCAGTAAAGCAAGGTGAGCTCAGCAACTCCAGGGTCGTCTGCGACTGGACTTAACTGTCAAGGGTCCTTTACCTTTTAATCCTCAGCTATTCAAACCAGATGGAGGGGAGAAGATCACACTGAGCAAATGTCCAGCAGCTATTGAAGTTTTAGGATGGACAGTTATGGTAATCCCTTTCCACTGAGATAAACAATAGATGAAACTGCATATTAATCTAAACAATCAAATACCATGTGATTGAAGAATTCGACCAAGAAGAATTGGCAAAACCTCACAGAGCAAAGCAACCAAAGACAGGGCTGATCCCAGAGCCGAACAAGCCTTGAGGCAGGTGAGGACGCTGCTCCAGGTGGCAGAAGCCCCCAACCAGGCAGAATGCCCATGGGTGCCCCTCCTGCCCTGCTGCTTCTGCCAGTGGAGGAGAAGCACCAGTATCATCAGCACTGATTTTGGGCTGCCATTTGGGGCAAAACGGGAAGTGCCGCCCTAGGCTGATTCTGCCATAGGTGTCTTTTGCAATGGACAAAGTATGAAAACAACTGGCTGCGCAACCAATTAAGCTTGCAATCACAGGACGATGTATTCAGGGACCACTTAAGTAATTGATGCTTTGTGTAACTAATGGAACAGGTAGCTAGTACTCACTGCTCTATCAAAATGACATTCTGTGTAATAAAAAGGTTGCATTAGAGATACTTTGTACTGCCAGTGGTTGTTTAATTAATGAAAAACCTAATTATGACAACTGCTTATTTCTGTTTCTGACGGAATAGAATGGCTCTAAGACACAGAATGGAGGGAATAGGCAGGGAGGTGAGATGAGTTTGTATTGATGCGGTTTTTACATAATGGAGGAAATAATAAAGGTTTAATGGATAACTCAAATGGATATATCAGACAAATGCTATATTAAAGGAGGTTAAACTGGAATCAGATAAATGATCATCAACTTGTAAAGAATCCTGTTGTTCATGTTAGCAGGCATCATAAAAGTTTTACGTGGGGCGTGGGGAGGAGAAATGACACTTTCCTCTGGACACTTGTTTGATTCTCATTCGCCAAGCAGAAGTTTCCTTCTGCAACAATTATACAGTGGTGGACAGCTCCCAATGTCAGTGAAGACAGCAGGACACCCATGCTTCCCATATTTTTAATTTGTTTGGAACATTTTGACTTAGGCTGACATGGAGGAGAATGTTGCCAAAATCACATGCCTGTGGGAAGATATTGCTGAAATCTGGTAGTCATAGCAGTTTCCGCAGAAGTAGGATCCCAACTACAGATCGCAAACATTCAGATCTGCTGCATTCATGTTTCACAAGGAGATAGCTTGGATCAAACAAAAAGTTTATGAGGAGAATAGGCAGTGCCAGGGGGATGTATCCCTCAGGTAAATAACTCACCCCTCACCTGTTCCCATCACATTGCTGGACCCTTGTGGTTACCTGAAGGAAGGGCACCTTTCACAATAACAATTGGCCAACCTGTCCATTCCCTTCTCCTTTACACCATAGAGGATGACTAAGCCATTTACTTACTCACTTACTGTGGCGATCACACAGGGCCCCCGGACGTTTGATGGTCTATTGACCCTGTGCCACCACTGTGATTGCTTTCTTCGCTGCCACCCCCCCGCTTCTCATGGGGACACACGGAGACCAGACAGTTGTTAACATTAACAAATAATCAAGTTTACTTTTAAATGCAGGAACAAGCGTATGGTTTCAGTTTATTTTTCTCTTGTCAGTTTCTTAATCTTAGTTCCTAACAACTCCAAACTGATTATTCCCAACTATCTATCTGACTCCACCTGACAATTCCTCTCACAATACATCTCTACCAACCCACACCTAATCCTCCCTCTTTCTTCTTCAACTCCCAAACCTCAACTCTCAACTCCCAAACCTCAACTGACTTTCAAAGTCTCCCACTCTAACTTTTACTCCCCCCTTGCATTCTCACTGGCCAATCACATCACACTCATTTTAACCCTTTCCTATGACGCATCCTAGGAGGCAAACGCCACATTCCTCCCCCCTTAAGAAGATTGACTCAGGAGGGATAACTTAACCTAGTTATTCTCCTGATCAATCAGCAGTACATCTTTATGGCAAATAAACATTTCCTAACCTGCCATTTCACCCTTCACTTCACACCTAACATTTGTACATCAAATACTGTGTTCTGGTAAAATATACATCTATACAAAAACCTGTTACATCTTAAGCATTCAGTTAACTTTCAATTGCAGGTCTTCTGGATAAGGCGTCTGCAATGGTGTTCAGGGTCCCTTTCACATTTTTAACCGTAAAATTAAAGTCTTGCAGTGATAGGGCCCACCTCATCAGCTTACTGTTGGTCTTCATGGTTCTCAGCCACAGCAAGGGTGAATGGTCAGTACATAAAGTAAAAGTTCGGCCCCAGATGTACGGCTTCAGTTTCTGTAATGCCCACACGATGGCAAGGCATTCCTTCTCGATGGTCGAATAATGTCTTTCCCTTGGTAGTAGTTTCTTGCTTAGGAAGGTGATGGGATGCAGGTCGTCCTTCTCTCCCTGTTGGCACAGCACGGCCCCGATCCCGGCATTGGATGCATCGGTGAAGACGGTGAACTCACGATCATAATCAGGAGCAACAAGGCCTGGATTTGATGTCAAGGCGCTTTTTAAGGCGTCAAACGCCCGCTGACATGCTGCTGTCCAGTTAACCATGTCTGGCTCCTTCTTCCAGGTTAGGTCAGATAAAGGCACTGCTATCTCGCTAAATTTCGGAATAAATTTGCGATAATAACTGGCTAGTCCTAGGAAAGCTCTGACTTTCGTCTTGGAGGTAGGGGTAGGCCAGTTTGAAATGGCTTCTACCTTTGTCTCTAAAAGTTTCATCACTCTTCCTCCCACCATGTGTCCCAGGTATTGAATAGTCAAGCCCCCTATCTGGCATTTGCTAGCTTTGATGGTTAAGCCCGCCTCTTTAATTCGCTGTAGCACTATCCCTAAGTGCTCTTTGTGTTTCTCCCAAGTTGGACTGTACACAGCAATATCGTCCAAATAAGCAACTGTGAACTCTCTTAATCCGTTCAGGATTTTGTCCACCAATCGCTGAAAAGTTGCTGGCGCATTCTTTAAGCCAAAGGGCATTACTTTAAACTCAAACAGCCCTAAGGGACTTCTGGACACAGTTTTCTCCTGGTCCCTAGGGTCCATTTCCACTTGATAGTACCCCTTTGTTAAGTCTAGGCAGGTGATGCAATGACACTGGCCTATAGCTTCGATCAGGTCATCTAAACGGGGCATTGGATATGCATCCGCTTTAGTGACATGGTTCAGCTTCCTATAATCCAGGCAAAATCTAATAGATCCATCAGGTTTGTCTAATAACACTATGGGTGCTGCCCAGCGGCTTTCCGAAGGGATTATCATCCCTGCCTTCAGCATCGCCCTTACCTCATTGCTAACTTTCCCCACATACTCTCCAGTTATTCTGTAGGGGTTGACAGCAATAGGCTTAGCATCCCCAGTGTCGATATGATGTATAACTCCTTTAGCTCTACCTGTAGTGTTACTGAAAATGTCTTTATAATCTTGTAGGATCTGCTTAACCTCCACCTGCTGATTCAGGGTTAATGTAGGAGCTATCTTTATTTCTTGTAGATTGCACAATTGCTCCCCTCTCCCTTCCCAGCATGTTATATCGGTTATTTTGTGGTATTATATCTTAATTTTATTCTGTGAACTGCCCTGAGACCCCCAGTTATAAAGCGGTATATTAAATAAGTAAGTAAGTAAGTGACGCGGGTGGCGCTGTAAGGGACGCGGGTGGCGTAGTGGGTTAAACCACAGAGCCTAGGACTTGCTGATCAGAAGGTTGGTGGTTCGAATCCCTGCAACGGGATGAACTCCCGTTGCTCGGTCCCTGCTCCTGCCAACCTAGCATTTCTAAAGCACGTCAAAGAGAAGTGGATAAATAGGTACCGCTCTGGCAGAAAGGTAAACGGTGTTTCCGTGCGCTGCTCTGGTTTGCCAGAAGCGGCTTAGTCATGCTGGCCACATGACCCGGAAGGTGTATGCCGCCTCCCTCGGCCAATAAAGCGAGATGAGCGCCACAGCCCCAGAGTCTGCCACAACTGAACGTAATGGTCAGGGGTCCCTTTACCTTGAGTAGGTAAGTAAGTAAGTAAGTAAGTAAGTAAATGGCTTAGTCATCCTCTACGGTGGAAAGGAGAAGGGAAAGGACAGGCTGGCCAATTATTGTTGTGAAAGGTGCCCTTCGTTCAGGTAACCGCAAGGGTCCAGCCAAGATTTATTTTAGGGGGGCCTATGAAGTTGTGCCTCCGTTTCATGCTCTTCTGAATGAACTTTCCTTTCACTTGTGGACCATGGTATTTGTTCTCCCTCTACACAGGATTTGGCCTGTTACAAACCGATTATATCTGCCTCCTGTTGATGATGTCCTGCTGTCTTCACTGACATTGGGAGCTGTCCACCACTGTATAATTGTTGCAGAAGGGAACTTCTGCTTGGCGAATGAGAATCAAACAAGTGTCCAGAGGAAAGTGTCATTTCTCCTCCCCACGCCCCACGTAAAACTTTTATGATGCCTGCTAACATGAACAACAGGTTTCTTTACAAGTTGATGATCATTTATCTGATTCCAGTTTAACCTCCTTTAATATAGCATTTGTCTGATATATCCATTTGAGTTATCCATTAAAACTTTATTATTTCATCCATTATGTAAAAACTGCATCGCTACAAACTCATCTCTCCTCCCTCCCTCTTCCCATCCATGTCTTAGAGCCATTCTATTCCTTCAGAAACAGAATTAACCAAAACAAAACTCATTATAGTCATTATGTAGGTTGATTATACAGCCTGCAAGATTTACAGTTGTCTTAATTAGGTTTTTCATTAATTAAACAACCACTGGCAGTACAACGTATCTCTAATGCAACCTTTTTATTACACAGAATGTCATTTTCATAGAGCAGTGAGTACCAGCTACCTGTTCCATTAGTTACACAAAGCATCAATTACTTAAGTGGTCCCTGAATACATCGTCCTGTGATTGCAAGCTTAATTGGTTGCGCAGCCAGTTGTTTTCATACTTTGTCCATTGCAAAAGACACCTATGGCAGAATCAGCCTAGGGCGGCACTTCCCGCTTTGCCCCAAATGGCAGCCCAAAATCAGTGCTGATGATACTGGTGCTTCTCCTCCACTGGCAGAAGCAGCAGGGCAGGAGGGGCACCCATGGGCATTCTGCCTGGTTGGGGGCTTCTGCCACCTGGAGCAGCGTCCTCACCTGCCTCAAGGCTTGTTCGGCTCTGGGATCAGCCCTGTCTTTGGTTGCTTTGCTCTGTGAGGTTTTGCCAATTCTTCTTGGTCGAATCCTTAAATCACACGGTATATGCATGTTTAGATTAATATGCAGTTTCATCTATTGTTTATCTCAGTGGAAAGGGATTACCATAACTGTCCATCCTAAAACTTCAATAGCTGCTGGACATTTGCTCAGTGTGATCTTCTCCCCTCCATCTGGTTTGAATAGCTGAGGATTAAAAGGTACATGTAAAAGACCCCTGACAGCTAAGTCCACTTGCGAACGACTCTGGGGTTGCGGCGCTCATCTCGCTATATTGATCGAGTGAGACGACGTTTGTCCACAGACAGTTTTTCCGGGTCATGTGGCCAGCATGACTAAGCTGCTTCTGGTGAAATCAGAGCAGTGCAGAGAAACGCCATTTACCTTCCCGCCAGAGTGGTACCTATTTATCTACTTGCACTTTGATGTGCTTTCGAACTGTTAGGTTGCCAGGAGGTGGGACCGAACAAGGGGTGCTCACCCTGTAACGGGGATTTGAATTGCCAACATTTTGATTGGCAAGCCCAAGGTTCAGTGGTTTAGACCACAGCGCCACCTGCGTCTGTTAGCTGAGGATTAGGTTCCATATATTCAATTCAAAGTGTTCCGCATTCAGTTTCAAGCACCTTGCGCATGAAAGCACCAATGAAACCTCAAAGCAGAGAAGGTTAACTCATTGGCCTTTGGATGTTTCTGTTCTGGAGATCCCATCACCCCTGATCTTTAGCCACAAATAACAGCGACACCATGGAGCGCAGGACAGAAGAGTGAAGCAGCTTCAGAAACAGGGTTGGGAAGGGGGAAAGGGGGCTTAGTCATCTTGAAGGGTGGAAAGGAGAAAGAAAAGGACAGTTTGGCCAATTATGATGGGGTGCAGAGTGGAACATGGAAGGTGGAGCAAGCAGAGAAGCAGAGCCCCTCCAGTTTGAAAATATTTTTGTTAGTTCCATTGAGTCTAGTTAGAAAAAGGTGTTTGCGAAAAAGCATGATGATGATTGCAAGAATGAGAAAAAGGACAAGAGAGCAGGTGAAGATTGTCCTTCCTTCAAGTAAGCAGAGTCCATCATTTCACCTTTGAAATCTCCTTGCCCTGCATGTCCCACTCAACCTCTTCAATCAGTGGACTTGAATCATTTTTTTTCCTTTTTTTTTTTTTTGAAGCTATTACTACTACCAGTGCTATTTCCTTGGGGGATGCAGGGGAAACGCATACCCCTAAACATTTTGTGAATCTAGGTTTGGCCAGATTAAGAATAATCATTGTGGGAGGTGAACATGCGAAAAGTGTGTGGGGACAGGTGAGGGATGAGTTATTTACCTGAGGGATACATCCCCCGGGCACTGCCTATGTGGGGCATTGCATCATCCTCACAAACCTTTCATTTGATTTAAGCTATCTCCCTCTGAAACATGAATACAGCAGATCTGAATGTTTATCTTCTAAAGAAAGAACCTGAGGCAGTAGACTTTTGTCTTGGGTCCTGGCAGAGAAATTAGCAACTGGACTGAAGGAACCGCAGGGTGCCAGTTCTCCCGTGTTTCTCAAAACATTGTCACAAACTGGTGAGCAAGCTTCCTGTTTCCCCAGAACTCTTCCTCAGGGCCACAAAGACAACAAATCCCTGCCATGCATAACATCCAGTCTGCAGGAGAATATTGGAGACCCTGAAAGCTCCCTCACAATTTCATGATATTTGTAAATGCCCTTAGAAGACAGAGTCCCTCAAGGGTAAGGATGGGCAAGAGATTGGATTCAGTTCTCATCAAAAGGCGAATCTATGTAATTCATAGTTACTGGAAATGAAAAACTGAAACAGACCTATCCTTTCCTAATGGCTTATTATCATGAAATCTTTCTTGTGGTCCAGCATGCCTTGCTTTGTGTTTTCATGTCTCAAACATAGTCACTTTGCTATGAAACTGAGTTAACTGTTATCTTTTTGTTGCTGGTTTCTATGTTTTAGAAAGGAGGAGTGATAGATGCCTTTGAAAAGTGGAAGATGCGGACTTTCGGGTTGGTGCCTCTGGGCAATGGCGGATTTCCTCTGATCGGGAGGAATCTGCTCCGTGGAAATTTGGGTCTGGCCGCTATGGCGAAAGCGGAGACCCATTAAAATCACAGGCGGGAGAAGCCTGTGAACGTGGGATTCGGCGGGCACCTTTTGCGCCTCCCCTACTCACGGGGAAACCCGGTTTCGGGGATCTGGAGCAACTTGGGGTGAGCGGCACGGTGCTTCGAATCGTCTGCTTCTTCCACGGAGCGAAGCCGCATAGCTGTTGCCGGAGAGCACTGACTTTTTCCTGTGGACAATTTGGACTCCAAAGTAATTACCCGTGAGTAGAGCTGATACGGGAGAATCGGATTTTAAACGTTTAATTTGGCATCGAAACGGGGAGGTTCAAAACAGGAAGTCCGCCTTCGCTATTTGTAAATAGACTGAGGCAAGGAGACTGTAAGCCGAAGTCTTGGAAAGCCTTTTGTAAAAGATTTTATTTCCATCGGCAAAGAGTATAAAATCCCCCTTGGAGGCAGGAGAAGAGGGGGGGAAGTTGTGGACTGAGTATGCCTGCAGGAGAGAGTAAAGAGAGTTAAAGTACTGCCGCTCTGACCCTGGAAACGGGCTGCTAGTAGGACTGATGTTTTGGAATGTCCATTGACAGCACTTAGAACGTTCCTTGACAGCTAGCAAAATAAGAGAGATATATTGTTTCTACTGTCTCCGGCTGCTCCTAAAAAGGAGTAATAAAGTAACTGAAAACTGAAACTAACTTTGGATTGTACGAGTTGCGCTTAAAGGTGATATTGTTGATTATTATAAATAGAAACTGTTTCCCCCTAGTGGAAGTTTCTGAAATTGGTTACTTTATAAGAGCTGGGCTAGGGGAGTTTCCAACTGCAAGATAAAAACTGTGTGACTCGGGGACTGACCTTGAATCTTTTGAGTGTTATGGCAAATGGAAAGGAAAGAACAGATGAAATGTCAACAGAAGAGGCCTTAGTGGTCGCATTATTGAAAATAAATGACTCGCTGGAACAGCTTCACAAGAAAACAAATTTGATGAATGTGAAAGTAAATGCTGCAAATATTAAAATTGATTTAATGGTAGAAAGTTTAAATAATCTGGGACAAAAGGTGAATACCAACACAGAAACCACCCAGAAATTGACACAGGAATCTACTTTAATACGGCAAATTGCGGATGAAGTCAGGGAGAAAACCTTTGCTGCTGAATGTAAAACAACACAATTGGAGTGTGAGAGAGCCCCACACATTCAAAAGCAACTTGACGAATATAAGCTGACATTTGCTTTAATCGAGCTTAAAGAAAAACAGATGAATTTGAGGATCAGAACCCCACCAGAACTGGAAAAGGAAAGTTTGACAGAGCTTCAGGAGGAGACAGGATCAACATCGGCTGAGAAAGAGAAATTTGGGGGGGTCAGTAGGACCGCCAAAAATGTGAATCTATTTAAGGGTAACTGTGAAGGACGTTGGATTGAAGAGAAGGGGGATTGGGAAATATGAACAAATCTGAAGTTGTTATGGTTGGGCTGAGCTGTTGTGGTGGGGATGCGGGATGCTATGTTGCCGGGGATGTTGCTTTTGTGTCAAAAAGTGCAAGTTTTGGATGGGAGGGATTGTTTCAGGAGGTGCCAGAGGGATGTTCCTGGATTTGTTTGGCAGGGCAGGAAGCCTCAAGTAAAACTTAAGATATTGACGGATGTTAAAGAAGGAGGTGGACCTGCCCTGCCAGACACCTAAACTTTGTTGTGAATCATCTGCTTTTTGCTGGCTGAGAGAATGGCTGTCCCTTAAAAGCATTGAAGTGTTGGATAATGGCAGATGAAGTTGATGGACTAGACTGAATTGGCGGAAAAGACTGGCAAGATCCGAGACCAGGGAGACGAGTCGGTGGAAGAAGACTGGGAAAAGTTTAAAGACTATTTATAGAAATATTGTAAAATTAATTGTCAGGGGTTCAGGAGCAGAGGCAAGGGCAAGGGAGGAAACAGAGAGCGAGGGGGAGGAGGCAGAAGAAAAGATGAGTGATGACGACGACCCGAGATCTCCGAGTCTTTCCAGTGAATCAGAAGATTCACAGAAAGGAGCACCAGTGGCCAGGGCAAGGGGGGAGCCTAGGGGGACACCCCAGGAAGATAGAGCCAGAGGGGACTCAGAGGGGAGCAGTTGGAAATCGGGACCAACGTCACCG